AACTATTAGAAAAACTCTAGAAAATGTAATCTATAATGACAGAAAGGAGATCAATATTTGCTTCAGAACAAAGGTGGGAAAGGGTGAGGGGGATTACAAAGAGACATGAGGGAACTTTTCTGGGGTAATGAATGTTGATTCTCTCTATGGGAGTGGATGGTTTCACAGGCGCATACATATTCAACATGTTACCAAATTGTATGTTTTAATATGCACAGCATATTATATGCTAATTATACCTAAAAAATCTACTTTTAGAAAGAACAAAAAGGGTGTGAGGTTTGGAACCTGTCTGCCAGGGATACAACCCAGCTCTGTCCCTGGCCAGCTGTGTGACCTTGGGCTAGCAACTGAACCTCTCTGTGCCTGTGTCCTGAGCACTGACGCTGCACGGATATTGGAGGTTGTGTAAGTTCACTGTGCCAACACAGTGCTGGGAATGCACTGAGCACAACCAGCCAGGCATTGTTAGCTGCCATGGCAGCACAGAGCAGGGAACTCTGCCCTGCTTACTGTTTACACGCCCAAATCCTTCGCTACACAGGAAGAAGCCCTAATTCATGTGTTTCCCCAAAGCCCAGAGTCAGCCTGGGAACTCTGCATGAATGGCAGGAGTGAGAGTTTGGGCAGGAGGGCAAGTCTCCAGGTGGCGTCTCTAAGCAGCCGAGGCAGAGCTCGCCAGCAAGGCCTGAAGAGGGGGTGACATGGAAGTGACTGGGAGGTGGCTCCGCGCAGGGAGGCAGCTGCCAGAGAAAGACACCTGAGCTCTTTTCAGGAACTGAAAGGGCATTTTCTAGGGTAAGGTAAATACAAACCCATTTAGGGGCACAGAATAGGGGCCATGAACAGCAGGAAAAGAGAAAAAGAGAGACAGAAGGTGGAGAAGAAGGAAAGCAAAATGCCAGCAAAGACAAGACTTGTCTGGAGCTCACGGGAAGCGCCTGGTGAAGGGCAGCACCTGCCAGCAGGGCAGGAGAGCCTGGGGTGTTCCTGCAGACTCACCTTGACTCCTGTGTCTCCAGACCCAGCTCCCCTCAAATCTTGGTGAGTGTGGGGCCCACGGCTCTTCCCCCTGCTCCAGCCTGGAGATGACATCTGGTTTGGAACCTTGAAGTCCTGCTCCAGAGAAAAGAAAAGGAAGCAGGACTGACAATTCGCCCAGGTCCAGGGCAAGACGGCCCCAAGGGTAGTGCCTGTGTGCTGTCATGAGCTCCCATGCCATCTGCTCTCCAAAACAGGGAGAGAGACAGAGGTCTGTGTTCCAGCTGAAGAAAAGTCAAACCCAGCTCTCCGGGAGGCCATGGATAAGGGACCTAGCTGGGGCCTGAACATACCATGTAGAAGACTCATGGTAGAGGAGGAGCTGATACCCAGCAGAAGGCCTAAGTATGAGCCAGGTTTAAGGTAGGGCTTTGAAGCCAAATGGACCCAAATCCTAAATCCTCCCTGAGAGCCTATGTGAACTTAATACAGTGATGGTATCTGTCAGCCTCACGTTCACCTATAAACTGTGTACCCTATCACCAACCTCAAAGATATATGAAGATTAATTAAGGAGATATGCAAATACTTGGTGTTCAATGAATAACATTCTCCTTCCGTATGTCCTACAAAGAAACTGGGGGAGTCCCTGGCACTGCCAGTCCCCTCCTCTGTGCAGACCAGGACTATTCGGGACCAGGGTGAAAAACACCCCAGGCCCGGACAGAGAGGATGAGAAATACTAAATAGCTTTGAGGTCAGCCCTCGTCCCAGTCCCCAGGGCCATTCATGGAGCAGGAAGCCCAGAGCTGAGCCCCAGGGAGAAGCCTCACCCAGGGAGACCAGGTTCCTGTAGGTTTCCAGCATCACATCCCTGTACAGGCCCTTCTGAGCAGGGCCCAGATGGCCCCACTCCTCCCGGGAGAGAAGCACAGCCACATCCTCAAAAGAAACCAAGACCTGGAACGACAAGAGCTTGTTGCAACCCCAGGGTCAGGCCCAGGGAGGGCCTGGGGGCAGGAGGCACCAGGGTCAGGATGGGCACCGCCACCCCTCCCCACCCCCAAAGCACATATACTAGACTGTCTTCCCCACAAGAGTGGGCTCTGAGGCAGGCATCACTTTGACTTGTTTTCCTGCCCACTCCCCACCCTCACTGTACCCAGTTCAGGGCTGGGACAACACAGGGTGCAGCACACTTCAGGGACTTGAACCCAAGGGCTGAGGACACCGGGGGTGAATACAGAGCATCATCCACCCTCTGAGACCAGCACCTCAGAGGGAACCATGAAGAGACTGCAGCCACAAAAGGGCTGGGGCCTCACAGAGGTGTCTCTATGAGGACCACTCACCTGGGGTCCACCAGGAAGGAGCTGCTTGACGGCCATCATGGGGGTCTGAGCTTGTCCAGAGGAAGGCAGAGCTGCAGGGGGAACAGTGTGATGGAGCTTGACCTGCTTTCTCTCCCCATGGCAACTCTGAAACATCTGCGCCAGTAGCTCAAGAGGTCTGTGGCAGCAGAGACCTAGTTCTGGGTTATCTGAAATCCCGAGGAAGGGCACGTGGACCAAGTACCCAGTGGCCTGAGACTGTATGTTCCCCTGCCTGCCACGAGGCCTCCCTAGCAGCCAGTGGTGCTGGGATGAAAGCCAGGTCCCTAGTAGTGCACTTGGGCTGGGGGAGACAATGTGCTGCATCTCAGGCCCACCTAGGAAGTCCCGGGCGGTGGGCAAGCAGCTGAGATCAAGCAGAACAGGCTCCTACTCTAAGGCAAAGCACAAGCCAGTACAGAGGCTGACGGAGGTGAGGCTTGTGTCAGGTGACGTTAAGGAACAGAAATGAGGGCAGCAAGTGGTGGTAGGAGATATTTTACAAAAGACAGCCAGGAAAGGTACCTCTGATAAAGTAACATCAGAACAGAGATCTAGATGGAGTGAGGGCAGGCACTGTGTAGCTATCAGGGAGATATACCCCCAGCGGGGGTTGCACAAGTGCAGAGGCTGTGAGGTGCAAGCCCACGTGATGTGCTCGAGGAAGGGCAAGGAGGCGAGAGGGGCTGACGCAGAGTAGGCAAGGGTGAGAGAGAAGAGGGTGGGTGCCTTGTAGAATACGGGACTGGGCTTTTACTCATTGAATGAGCTGGGAGGCATCTGGAAGGTCTCTACAGAGAGATGTGACCTGACCTGTGGCTTCTCCAGCTCAGCTGCTGCTCTGAAAATAGACTAGGGGTTAGGCAGCAGGGTGGAAGGCCCCAGCAACAATACAGCCAGACACAATAGTGTCCTGGACCAGATGGCAGCAGAAGGTGATAAGTGGTCAGATTCTAGATGCATTTCAGAGGAACAGTCAATAGGATTTGCTTATGAATTAATGTGGGCTGAGACACCAAGATGTTTGGCCCAAATAACTGAGATGATGAAACTTCCAACTACCTAGAAAGATAATGTAGCAGTACATTTGAAGGATAAAAATTAAAAGTTGTTTTGCACATGTCAAGTTTAAGATAACTAATAGACACACATGTAGAGAATTAGGGCATTTGGATACACATGCCCAAATTTCAAGAGAGAGTTTGAAGCTGGCTGGGTATACACTGGAAACTTTCAGTATACACATGACATTTAGAAAACCACAGATCTGGTTACATTTTAAGCTGACAGGTGTCACAGGGTGTCACCCCCAGGAAATCTTTCCAAACTGGCTTCTGATATACAGCCAGCCTCTACCCTGGGAGACCCCCTCCATGCAAACAGACTCCTCAGTTCAGTAGAAACGTGCCCTTTTTCCTTGATCCAGCTACTCTGGCGTTAGGTGACCACAAGGCCTAGTCTGGTCAACAAGATGTTAAGCAAAATTTGCCAAGAGGCTTTCAGGAAAGGCTTTTCCTACCTGATGAAAAAAAGGAAAGGAGAAACACTTCTGTTTAGAACGACCATGAAGGAAAACCCAAGAGAACCTCAGAGACACAACCCAGAACAAACCTGTCTGCCCGACCTTCATCACGCAAACCTCTGTTGGACAGGTTAACTGAGTGAACCCAAGCCTATTAATGCCTAGTTCATTTCTCCTGGGCCTTCCCTGAGCCTCCACCTTAGGCCACCTGGGCTAGGGGTAACCTCCTGGTCCTCAGCCAGAGTTTGCCTTGGACAGGCCCCTGGCGCTCATGCCCTTTGTGACTCACAAGTGGTCCCTCCGAACGCGCTCTGCCTTCACTTTCAACCTCACCTGGGAGGCACATAACGCTGGATTTAGAAGCATGCGTTCTGGACTCCAACAGGACTGAGTTCCAATCCTGGGTACACCACGTACTAATGCAAGGGTGCCGGGTAAGTGACCGCGCTCCTCACCGACCATAAAATGAGAAGAACAGAACCACTTACCTTTACTGACTATTTAGAGTTAAAACAAAACAAGTGTATAAATCCCCTCGTACAGCGTTCGCAAACCACAAACAGAAAACACTAAGTAATCGTAACTATCATCGTCAAGGAAATGTGAACTGAGCGCCTGCTGAACAAATGAACGCAGGAACGCTGGGGTTGTTCTCGCCTGCCTTTCCCTCTCCCGCCGGCAGCCACTGCCCCTTCACCGCACAGCCCTCGCGACCTCATCCTTTCACTGAACCTACTCCTGATGAGTGAAAAGTACTCTCCCTCTTCCGAGAAAAAAACCACTCGGTTCATCCCCTGACCGCGCCCAAGTTTCTCCTCCTCCGTGAGACCTGGCTCGTCCCCCCGCCGCCCTGCCTCAGCGCGGGGGTAGCCTGGACTCCCACTCTGGCGCGGGCTTCCGCCTCGCCCGCCCCTCAATCCACACGGACTGGCGCTCGCTCGGACCCTCTCCGCCCCGAGCTACCCGGCTCGCCGTAGGGCCGCGCAGGCACCTCCACGCCAGATCCCGGGCCAGCGACCCCTCAGCTCCGCCGGGAAAAGAATGGCGCGCAACACAGCACTCCGGGGAGAGCGGACCCACCAGACCGGAAACGCGGGCTAGGAACTTCCTCCCCACCGCCAGCGCACCGGCCAATCGGATCCTAGGGTTCTGTCGGGCCGCTCTATGCGACCCAGAGGACTGTAGGCTACTGGCCCACCGGCCTCGCGATAACATCAGAGGTGCGTCAGAGAGACAGGAAGTGACGTAGGTCGGAAGCGCGGGTCCACCTGAAGAAGCGGAAAGGATCGGAAAGGGAAACAAGGAATGTACGGTGACATCTTTTGTCTTATTCCCGATTAAAATAAAAGATCGCTGTTTTCAGGTTAATGGTAGTAACAAAGTGTTGAGTCTCTATCGCGTGTATAAGTGGACAGTGACGTCACGGGGGGAGGACTTGGGAGCTCTGGTTGTAAGGTACCTGAGCTGTCTATGAAGCGGTGTCGTGTAATTTGAAGGTGACTTAAGTTAATTCTAAATATATATTGCAAGCTCTAAGGCAACCACTACCATTTTTGCTAAAGTATAATCGATATGCTAAGTAGGATAAAAAATCTGACCAGACAAAACGCTCAATTGAACCAGAGAAGGAAGAAAAAGATGGGAAGATTTTTAAAAAGTAACAAGTGCAATGAATAAAAAACAGTAACAAACATGGTATAGACAAACCCAACCATATTAATACTCGCTTTAAAAGTAAATGTTAGATACACCAGTTAAAAGACGCTGTCAAAGCAGGTAAAAAATAAGACCGAACTTTATGTCGTGTATCAGAAACCCACTTTAAATATGAAGACACAGATTAAGGAGAAAGGCATGCCGTGCTAACACTAATCGAAAGGAAGCTGGAGTATCGTTACTGATTTCAGACAAAGCTGACTCCAGAGACAGTAAATTATCAGGGAAAGAAAGGGGTATTAAATATGGTAGATGGATCAAGTCTCCAAGAAAACATAACGATCCTTGTGTGTATGCAGCTAACAGCAGCATCAAAATGCATGGACAAAACTGATAGAATCGCAAGGAGAAACAGATGAGCTCACTCACAGCTGGAGGCCCCACGCCCCACATCAGCAGCTCAGCAGGCGGGAAGTCTAGGGTACAGTTGAACTGAACAGAACCACCATTCAGTTGGATCTAATTGGCATTTATAGAATGCCTCATCCAACAGCAGAACCCACATTCTTTTTTTAACTTTTATAAAAAAATTTATCTTTTTTTAATTTTATTTTTTATTGTAGTGTAGTTGATTTACAATGTTAGTTTCAGGTGTATAGCAAAACAATTCAGTTATGCATATACACATCTATATTTTTTTTTTAGATTCCTTTCCATTGTATGTTATTACAAGAAATTGAGTATCGTTCCCTGTGCTATACAGTAGGTCCTTGTTGTGTATTTTATACATAGTAATTTGTATCTGTAAATCCCAAACTCCTAATTTATTCCTTCCCCGCCCCTTCCCCTTTGGTAACCAGAGTTTGTTTTCTATATCCGTGAGTGTATTTTTGGTTTGTAGGTAAAATTTGTATCATTTTTTTAGATTCCATATAATTGATATCATGTAATATTTGTCTTTCTCTGTCTGACTTACCTCACTTAGTATGATAATCTCCAGGTCCATCCATGTTGGCATTATTTTATTCTTTCCTGTGGCTGAGTAATACTTCATTGTGTAAATATACCACATCTTTGTCCACTCATCTGTCAGTGGACATTTGGGTTGTTTCCATGTCTTGGCTATTGTAAGTAGTGCTGCTGTGAACACTGGAATGCATGTATCTTTTTGAATTGTATTTTTCTCTGGATATATGCCCAGGAGTGGGATTCCTGGATCATATGGTAAGTCTATTTTTAGTTTTTTAAGGAACCTCCACACCTTTTCCATAGTGGCTGCACCAGTTTACATTCCCACCAGCAGCGTAGGAGGGTTCCCTTTTCTCTACAGCCTCTCCAGCATTTATTATTTGTAGACATTTTAATGATGGCCATTCTGACTGGTATGAGGTGATACCTCATTGTAGTTTCGATTAGCGTTTTTCTGATAATTAGCGATGTTGAGCATTTTTTCATACCCATGGACCATTTGGATGTCTTCTTTGGAGAAGTGTCTATTTAGATCTTACACCAATTTTTTGGTTGTCTTTTTTAAAATTTTTAAAAATATGTTAAGCTGTATGAGCTCTTTGTGTATATTTTGGAAATTAGTCCCTTGTCAGTCACATCATTTGCAAATATTTTCTCCCAGTCTGTAGGTTGTCTTTTTGTTTTGTTTATAGTCTCCTTTGCTGTGCAAAAGCTTTTAAGTTTAATTAGGTCCCATTTGGGGTTTTTTTTTTGCTTTTATTTCCATTATTCTAGGAGCTGAGATTCCACATTCTTCTTGAGCTTACATGGAATGTTCAACAAAATAGACCACATTTTGGGCCATAGAACACATCTTAGCAAATTTAAAACCATAGAAATCATACAAAAAATGTTCTCAAACCCTAAAGAAGTTAAACTAGATGTCAGTAACAGAAAGATAGCTAGATAATCCAAAAATATTTGGAGGTCAAGCAACATGCTTCTAAATAACACATTGTCAAATAAACAGTCTCAACAAAAATTTCAACATATTTTAAACTAAATTAAGGTTAAAATTCAACTTACCAAAATTTGTGGTTATCAGTGAACAGATTCAGAAGTTTAAAAAGAAAGTCAAGAGACCCAGAATAAACAACACAATACTGAAGAAGAATAACAAAGTCTAAGGACTGATTTTACCCAACTTTAGAACACTGTATAAAGCTACAGTAAGCAAGACAATGTAGTATTGGTGAAAGAACAGACAAAGAGCTCAGTGGAACAGAACAGAGACACCAGAAGTAGACCCCCACAAATTCAGTTAATTGATCTTTGACAAAGGAGTAAAGGCAGGTAAATGGAGGAAGTTTAGTCTTTTCAACATATTGTACTGGAACAATTGGACAGCCACAGCCAAACAAACAAACAAAAATTCAGACACAGACCTTATACCTTCCACAAAAACTAACTTGAAATAGATCTTAGCTACAAATACGTTTGTTGTGTGTATATGTGTGTATTTTCAAATAACACCTAAGGCTCAAAGTCCCAATCAGGGTGACCTTGAAATAAAAATAAGGGCCATCGGAAACGTGATTGTAATTTAGTAGGCAGAGAACATTTTTGTATTCTGTCTGTAACATAATCATGTAGCTCAGAAAACGAGTCTCATAAAAGCCCAAACTGGCAAAACCTGCCTAAATGCTGATCAGGCGGAGGAACTGAGAGGAACTTCTCAAAGTTAATGCACCCTTCTAATCCCAACTCATAGGTAGGTCTTTGATAATATGGTTTCCCAGATGCTGTGCTCTCAGGTCAACACAAACGTTTGGTGTCTTATAAATGAACAAGCTGTCAGGCACAGCTCGTGTACAAGTTTACAAGCGCAGATTCACCCTAGACAGACAGTCCTCCTCCATGTGCTGATGAGGAATGTGTTCTGAGCCTGTGGAGCTGACGACCACGGCAGCTTAGTCATGTCCTTCTTACTATAGTAGTTCCTCCTACATAAGAATAAGTGTTTTCAGAAAAGGCTCTCTGTGTCTGAGAATAAGTTTATTGCATCATCACTTTAAAAAATATAGATTTTTATTTTTATGTCCTTTTAGGGTTCACAGCAAAACTGAGCAGAAGGTACAGGAATTACCCATATGCCCCCTGCCCCCACATATGACAACTTTCTCTACAATCAAGATACCACCCCAGAGTGGTTCATATATATAATCTATGAACCCACGTTGACACATCATTATCACCAAGTCCATAGTTTACATTAGGGCTCACTCTTGCTGTTGCACACTCTATGGGTTTTGAAACTATCTGCTGGTAGACACTTATCCACCGGTAGAATGTCGTACAGAGTAGTTTCACTGCCCTAAAAGATCCTCTGCTCCACTTATTCATCACGCACTGTCACTTTCCAATGATGGTTTACCCCAATTGTAAAGTTCTAGGTTCAAAATTCTTTTCTTTCAACGGTATGAACGTATTATTCTATGTCTTCTTGTTTCCAGTATCATTGACAAGTCCGATGTTAATCAGATTAGTTTTCTTTTGGAAGTAATGTCTTGTCTCTAAAAGTGTTTAGGATTTCTCTCTTTTATATTGTTAAATTTCACTACAATGTGTCTAGTGCAAATGTTTGTTTTTCTTTATCTCCTGTTTTACACTCAAGGAGTCATTTCAGTCTGAGGTCACCCACCCTTAATTCCAGATCCCATTAAAAATATTTTCTCTCTTCCATTTGTTTTTTCTCCTTTAAATCAGCCTATTATATCAATTTTGACAATTACATTTTTGGCTTCTGTATCAGTTTTTCTTTAAACTTTCCTTGTCCTCCTTCCTTCCTGATGCCTTCCAGAGAGCTCCTCAACCCAACCTTCTGGTGCACAAATCTGTTTCAATTATGTTCTGTCTGCTGTTTATCCCAGCTCCAGGGTTCTTTACTTCAAATGTTCGTTTTCATATTCAGTAGTTCCACTTGGATTATTTATTAGTTCTTTTTTGTTCTTTGTGTCAAAACTGTCATTTCATCTCTTTGCAGTATGCACTGTGTTTATTTTAAATTCTGGCTCTGCTGTTCTGCTAATTTTGGCTCGTCTTCTAGTTTGTGCAGCTTGTTTCTATCTTTTATCATGGTTATGCTTCGCAGGTATCTGAAACTTCTGCCTATAAGCTCATTTTCCAGGTGACCAGGGCTCAGGCCCTAGATTATGCTGCACCTGGTGGCTCAGGGGAAGAGGCATGCTCCCTAGCAGAGAACCTATAGCTCACAATCTACCTCTGACTACCCACTTCACTGACCCTCACCAGATGGTTGTTTCTCTTGGGAAATCTCCCTGTATCTTTTCTCGTAGCAGCAGCCTTCTGAAAGGGCTTTTCTCCGATAGCTGGAAATACCTGATGTTAGGGCCATGGAAATCAAGGAGGGGAAATAGGACTCTCAGAGGTTAACTAGGCTCTGGTGACTCCTGGCATAACCCCACTGGAGCCTGTGCTGCTGGGATTGTGTTTGTGTGTATCATCAACCTTTTATGAGCTGAAATGTATCCCCCAAAAAGGATATGCTGAAGTCCTAGTCGCAGTACATCAGAATATGACCTTATTTGGAAATCGGGTCATTGTTGTTAATTAGTTAAGATGAGGGCATACTGCAGTAGGCTGGGCCCTAACCCCGTATGCCTGATGTCCTTATAAGAAGACAGCCATGTGGAGACAGACAAGGAGGTCATTATGGGATGACCCAGACAGATATAGGAGTTAGGCAACTGGAAGCCAAGAAGCGCCAAAGATTGCCAGCAAATCACCAGAAGATAGGAAGGTTCAAGACAGCATTTTCCTGCAGGTTTCAGAAAGAACACAGCTCTGCTAATGTCTTGATTTTGGACTTTTACCCTCCAGGACTATGAGACAATGTCTGTGGTTTGTGGTGCTTTGTTACTCACAGCCCAAGGTCATGAATACAAAGTTTCAGAGTGATGAGGGGCAGGTAGTGATCTTCCCAAGGCAATGAGTCAGGGACAGAAGACACAGCTCAGGGGCTTACCCCACCTTCCTTTCCCAGAGCATGGCTCACCAACCCAGGGTTCCAGGTCTCCCCAAACCTTTTCTTTCCCAAGATAGGCCTCACAGTATGTACTTCTAACTCATTTCTGGGGTATAAAAATAAGATCATGCTTGTAATTTAAAATAAGACTGAGTTGCTAACTGCAAATATGCATGTAGAAAGGAAATGGGCTCCCACCAGCCAGAAACTGGGAGGCCGCCACACCTCAGATTCTGAGTTCATCAACATGGTAGGTTTCTTGCACACAGGTACAGTCCAAGACAACACCCGCCCCTACAACCCCGGGAACACTTAATGGCCAGTGGAAGTAGTGTTTTGTGACATTCATATGGAGAAAGGACAAGCAGGAGAGGGCAGTGGGCTTTCTGACACTCAGACAGGGAAGGTGAGATCCTCTGTGCCTGCCAGCGTAGAGGAAGCAGTCCTTGTCATCATAAATTAGCACATCTCAGGAAAGACTGTTTGAAAGGGGACCTGATGACACACCTTTAAGAGGGGAAATTATTTTTCATGAAAACTTTATAAAGATTTATCATTAGCAGAAAATGTAACTTACTTGCAGGTAGCAAGACATATTCTATCAGTGATCTTAATCACTGGCATCTTCAGGGCTGGGGGAGGAAATCAGCTATCTTTATGTCTTGTGTCTTTAGGAACCAAGAAATCTACTGAGCTGGCATTGCCACACACGCTGCCCTTGACCCTACCATACTTTTATTTTATTAATGGTCATCTCCTGTATGTTCTGTCCAAATCAGACGTGGAATTCGCTACTATTTGAAGTCAAGATACAAACTGTTTCTTCTACCAAGATGCTCTATATGTTCCCAACTCCTCCTTCACTCCTAATAAGATGAACACTTTCATATCTAGTCTCTTTCCCCTTGTCTACTCTCACCCCTAGTTGAGCCCTTTAAAATGCTCTGTCCCCAAGTCCTGAATGTCACTGATATGAGTAGTATTTTCATTTTTCAGTTATACTATTGTCAGTTTTTTTCTTACAGTATGTCCTGTTATTGAACCAGACTTGGGTCTGCTCACCACACAGCCAATTTATTGATACTGGTTTGCGGTGAAGGAAAGTAGAGCATTTATTGCAGGTGCCAAGCAAGGAGTATGGGCAGCTCTTGCTCAAATGACCCAAACTCCCCAGTGGTTTTCATAGGAGAGTTTTCAAAGGCAGCATTTGGGGGTGAGGGCTGCCGGGTGCATGACTTTGTTCTGATTGGTTGGTGGTGAGGGAACAGGGTGATGTTTCAGGAATCTCAATCGTCAGCTTTCTGTTTCAAAGCAGTCTGGGGTCTGCATGCTGGTAGTCAGCATATAGGTGGGGATCTTTGCTGAAGAAGAGCTCAAAGACGCCCGTCTGTTGTGTGCATCCCCCTGAGGAGGAACTAGGACTCTGTTATCACTGAACTATTGTCATTACTTTTCTCATTTAACTGCTTTTCCTTTGTTTCTTCCGTCCCTCCTTTCCCTAATTAGTAACTGCCTGTGCCTGCTCTTTGGAACTCAGGGAAGGCCTAGGGGACTAAAGCCTTTTTCTACAAACAAGAAACAGGGAACACAGGGGCATTTGTATCCATTAGGGCCCTGCAGGTTCCTACTTGGTTTCATTCCCACCTTTTCTTTGATACTCCTCAATCTTAGGGGAACAGGTGTGGGACAAGACAGGGAGTAAAGTTTTGGACAGACAGGTTAATCATAAATTCAGCAGAAGATCTCGGTTTTAGTGGAGTTGGTTTCAGTCCCATCTATTTCGTGAATATTTGGTTCCTGTATTACAAACTTCCAGACAGTCTATCCTTATTAATAGCGGGGATCATGACTCACCAGTGGGTTTTTTTCCTCTCTCTTTTCTTTATCTGAAGTCTCCATGCTGCTTCTTTTACAGCTATACTAAAGCCTTTTGTAAAGATTGTTAAACATGAAAAAGAAGGCTTTTGTAAGATATCTTATTCAACTGGAGCACGGAGAGGGTATGTGATGGTTAATTAGAGGATGCTTCGGTTGAGATTAACAATTGAATAGGTAGAGTGAGTGGTGGGCCCTATTCAGTCAGTTGAAGGCCTAAATAGAACAAAAAGGTTGGCTCTCCCACTCCTGCCTCAGTGCCTTGAACTAGGACATCAGTGTTTTTTCCCCCCTGCCTTTGGATTCAAACTGAAACATTCACTCTTCTGATACCCAGCAGGTCTCTGCAGCCGCGCCACAACCCGCCCCGCACCTACCTCCACCTCCCCCCCAACCCCGCCTCTTGTTTACTCTTGTTTATAGCCTCATGTTACCAAGGTTGTTGCTCCCAGGATTATATCCCAACCCTTCCCTCGAATAGAAACCAATCACTCTTATGTAAGTCTCAGAAGGCAGCTGCAAAGAGAAGAAATAAGAACTGGTTAGAACCTATTAAGCACAAGATGGCAGAAGATTTGTTGTCCAGAGGACATTGAGTCTCATTATAGGCTTATTGTAATGTAATAGCTGCTAAATGACACACCTACAGGCGCCTAGACAGTTGACAGTTGCCACGACAGCAAACGGAAAAGCCCTTACAAGGATGGAAAAGAAGGTGATTGGCTCCAGCACACCCGTAAGGAGGACATGATGGAGAAGCTTCTAATAAAAGTCCACATGGCCTAACCCAGAGCTGGAGCTGTCTTGACTGGCGTCTTGGCAGATGGTTCCTAACTCAAGTGCTTTCTTTCCTCTTTCTCTTTAGAGCAGTAAAGCAGCTTTTCATTTTGTCACTCTGCCTCTGCTGCGGATTCTTTTACAGCTGAGGGCAAGAACCCGCATTTCGGTGGGCCTTCTAATTTAGAGTCTCACTCTGCTAACACTTCTGTCTTGGCCTGTCAGCATTCAGACTGGACTACAATCATCTCTCCCCATTCTCAGGCCTGTGGATTCAGAATGGAACTACACCATCTGCTGTCTGGGGTCTCTGCCTGCTGACGGCAGCTCTTGGGACTCGTCAGCTTCCATAATCATATGAGCCAATTCCAATTTTATATACATTTACGTACATATATATTATCTGTCTGTCATCTGTCTCATGTTAGCTCTGTTGTTCTGTCACTTGGGAGACCCTGACATACAGGACACAGTCTCAGATGCCTGTTTGCCCTGAGACGGCAGTGTCAGGTTGTTGGTGCACACCTTTGTCTTAATGTGAGTGGGGTGCTTGGGTTGTAGTCTCTTTCTCTCAGTGTTCTGGAGGCACCATCCATTCACTTTCTGCTTTTAATGTTGATAATGAGAATTCTGCTGATAGTTTGACTCTTTTTCCTTTGTAGATTACCTTGAGTTTCCATCCAGAAGACTGTATTATCTCCTGCTTTACATAGAAGAATTCAAGAATGTTACCAGGCTACAAAAAAATGACAACATAATGCCATTTGCAGCAACATGGATGGCCCTGGAGAATGTCATTCTAAGAGAAGTAAGCCAGAAAGAGGAAGAAAAATACAGCATGGTATCACTCATATGTGGAATCTAAAAGAAGACGAAGACGAAGACGAAGACGAAGAAGAAGAAGAAGAAGAAGAAGAAGG